GCTTCATGATTATGAATTTCATTGAATTTTATTGCCTGCATCAAGTGGTTCATTGGTTAAGGCGCTGGGCTCGTCGGCTGAAAAGCCAGCAGCCCAGATTCAAGACTTGAGCATCACGCGAAGGGGTGAGCTCCTGTCCTCACTTCAGCTCCTGCCCATCTAGCAGTTTAAAAGCATGCAAATGTGAGTAGATAAATAGGTACCACTTTGATAGGAAGGTAACAGCACCCCATGATGTCATGCTGGCCCCCTAACCACCGAAATGTCTTCAGACAGTGATGGCTCGATGGCCTTGAAACGGAGAGGAACAGCGCCCCCTATAGCCAGCAACGACTAACAGTAAGATCTGCCTCAGGCTTAGTACATTTTGGTCTCTTTTCCAAAGAATATGAGCCGAGGTGGCGCAGCAGTTAGAGTGCAGTACTGCAGGCCACTTTAGCTGACTATGTTCAGCAGGTCAGCGGTTCAAATCTCACCGGCTCAAGGTTGACTCAGCCTTCCATCCTTCCGGGTAGGTAAAATGAGGACCCAGATTGTTGGGGGCAATGTAAATATATATATATATATATATACATTGCTTACTGGTGTACACCGTTTAGAGAGTGCTTGCACTTAAAGCGGTATATAAGTCTCATAAATAAATAAATAAATAAATAAATAGAAAGGATTTCTGAATCACCCTCTGCAATTATAGGGAACATTGTGTGTGTGCCTGTGTGTTTTACAAATTTGACAATAATATTGTCACCATCTCTCTCTGTTAAAAAGGCTCCCCCATCTATCTCAGATTTTTTTTTCATCATTCCTCCATCAATAGACAACCCTCTTTCCATCAGACTGAATATTTTAGTGAGTGAATACTTTAACATCAGTACCTTGACGCGCTAATCAATGATTTTATGATGCGTTCTGCCAAGCCAAAGCAGAGGAAAATGAAGTATTAATGACCGGGACATAAATAATTAACTGAAATATTTATTTACGCAGTTCACAAGTACACATTCCTCCCTCTCTCTAGGCAAAATATATATATATATATATTGTAAATGATTTGATTTATCCCCTTTTGGTGTTTTCGATAAGCAAAGCGACAGAGGGCACATACACACGCACACATACACACAAATGTAGACATGTACTGTAGGTATGGGCAAGTATTCCCCTTGATAAGAAATGCGTTACCAACTCATCAGCTGAACTTTTAGCTGAAGAAAGAGACATCAGCCGTCTGGGCTCTTCCTGATCCACAGTGAATCTGCCATATTTTGTAGCTTCACTGTAAGGTTGTGCAGATTTGACAAGGGGCAGAGAAATTCGAGAGTGATCACGCAAGGGTCTAAGTACGTGCGGCAGCTGACAAGCGAGATCACCATCTCTACATCGCTCGGAGCCAGTTGGGGAAAGGTTGAAGCTGTACACTTTCAACATTACAGAGTATAATGTTTAATCTGTTGTTATTATTATGATTTTTTTTTTACAGAGGTTGAAGAAGAAGAAACACAGAAATAGGGGAGAAATACAGAAATAGCTGATACATTGTTCTGGGCACATTTGGTTCCCAAGTCACAGAGGCCTAAGAAGAAGAAAAAATCTACCCAGGCATTACCCTGAAAAAGATTTGCTTTTTTGGCACAGTGTCAGGGCACTGATCAGGTATCTAGACCGGGGGCCCCCAACCCCTGGGCCATGGACCAGTACCAGGCCACAGCATGACAACTACCAGGCTGCGGCACACCAGCTACCAATCTGCACAAACGAGCAAAGCCCCATCTGCAGGATGCAGGCAGCACACAAAACCACACACCCTCCGGCCTGCGGAACTGGTCCCTGGTGCCCCAAAGGTTGGGAACCTCTGGTCTAGGCAACTGGTTCTTCTGGAGACAATAACCACACCGTAAATAAAGGGATTTTAAGCTTAAGTACAGGTGATCCTCAATTTTAACAACCATAAATGAGCCCCAAAAGAGCTAAGCAACATAGTAAGTGAACTTTGCCCCCATTTTTCTTGCCTCAGCTGTTAGGCAAATTTGGTTAGGCGAATCGGTGAATCCATCAAATAGCATTAGTAGATGTGTTTTACAACTGCAACAATATTAGTAAGCTCAAGGTAAAGGTTTTCCTGTCAAGTTGTGCCCGGATCTGAGGGGTGGTGCTCACCTCTGTCTCTTGGCTGAGGGAGCCAGCGTTGTCTGAAGGCATTTTCTGACATTTCATGTGGCCAGCATGGCTATACACCAAAGGCACACAGAATGCTGTTACCTTCCCGTCGAAGTGGTACCTATTGATCTACTCACATGCTTTCAAAGTGATAAGTGGGCAGGAGCTGGAACAAGTGACGGGAGCTCACCCCATCCTGTGGTGCTCAGGTCTCAAATCCAGGATGTCAGTTTTCCAGCTGACAAGCTCAGCATCTTGTAGATCTAGTACATCTGAGGGATTTCCTTCACCTAGGAATTTTCTTTCAAGGAAAACTGCTGCCTTTGAAGTTGACAGTCCCTCTTGTCTCCAGCCCACCCACCCCCCAAAAAAACCTCCAAGCTAAGCAATCTGGCATCTTGTTAATAGCTGGCTGGTTGCTAATTAATTCCTAATCAATTTCACCAATGCTTTGATGTGGGGTGGAAGGCAGGATGGAATAGATCCATGATCATATCAACCCAGCTCAATCTCAGATGCAGCTTACCTTGAACTCTGAAAAGTTGGGAAATGGGAAGGCTTTGTCTGAAGCCACCACTGTGAAACTGAACCAGCTTAACATGTTGCGCAAATAGATTCTAACTTACGTTTAATTCCATTTAAGTTTGAAAACACAGCGCAGCGTCCATCTGTTCCTGTCGTTGTTGTCGTACCCAGCAAATGTTATTTTTTGATCTGCGATGCCCAGGCATAATAAAACATGCAAGCATACATATGGATTTCTGAATTCCATAGCCAAAGAAATCTGGCTTATATCCAGTGTTAAGAACCACTGAAATCCATGCTTTGCTTGCCAGCTTCTTAGATATATTTATGATCCTGGTGCTGCAAAGGTCGTAACTGTGAAAAAAAAATGTCATAATTCTTTTTTTTTTTTGTACTGATGTAACTTTGAACAGTCACTAAACGAACCATTGTAAGTCCAGGACTTCCTATATACATATGTATATACCTACCGTATTTTCTGGCATATAAAACAACTTTCTAAAGTGTGGAAATTGGCGCCGAAGTCGGGGGTCATCTTATACGCCAAGCTATATATATGAGCTGAGGTGGCGCAGCAGTTAGAATGCAGTATTGCAGGCCACTTTAGCTGACTGTGTTCAGCAGGTCAGCGGTTCAAATCTCACCGGCTCAAGGTTGACTCAGCCTTCCATCCTTCCGGGGTAGGTAAAATGAGGACCCAGATTGTTGGGGGCAATGTAAATATATATATACTTTGCTTACTGGTGTACACCGCTTAGAGAGTGCTTGCACTTAAAGCGGTATATAAGTCTCATAAATAAATAAATAAATAAGTCATCTTATATGCTGGAAAATACGGTACATACATTTGCTTTATAAAATTGAGGAAATCCGTTCTGCGGTTCAAAGCCAATCGTTCTAATGTTCGGTTTGAAGGTTTTAGCTACTTTTTTTCTCTATATAATTATTGCAAGATATTTAAGCTTCTGCTCTAGATTGGCCCATGGCTGAATTTATAAATTTAGACAGAGGGAAGGACACACTGATGGATGGAAAGGTGTAAATTACAGAAAATATCCATAGAGGTTTAACATACGAGTTTCCAACTACCACCAAAAATATCATAAAGCTATTAAAAATGCAATTTAGATACTAGCATTAAATTTCTCTTGATTTTCGATAGTCTGACTCTTTTGCAATGAAACCAGTTGTCTCCTCTCCTCTCCTCCCTCTCCTCCTCCTTTCTTTACATTTTATTCTTCTTTCTTCTGATAATTCCTGAAATGATTGATGGCACTGTTTTGTTGTTATTGTTCTTAACGTGCTGTTTTGTATTGAGTTTCATTTCCTGTTCCCTTTGAAATATTAATTTGTTTCCTTTGAACGCAGAAGCGTTTTGCTAGACTAGACGTTTCTAATTAGCAAAAATACCGACCCATTCATAATAATCTTACAGTAATAATGGCATTGAATTAAAGCTTGTTAAGAAAGGCTGGTGTCGTCGAGGTGAAGGTTAACAACTGTAGAATTTTGCCAAAGAATGCAAGAATAATAATAACCAACCACTTTAAAGCATCTGTAACTTTTGCTAATACTGTAAACCTCACACCCATTTTTACAAATCCTTTCTTTTGTCCATTGGCCACCCGGATTTCTTTCTGTGAGAACATCTCATTTTGAAATCAAACGGCGAGCCCTCGAGTCATAATGAAGGACCTTGCATAGCCTTAATTTATTAAAATTAAAGGCTTGAAGGTTTTTTTAAAAAAATTGTCCTGGGATGCTCCCATTGGGTATTCCAAAAAAGGAAAACCAGCTTCCTTAACCAAATCCATCTGGCAATTTCGAAGTTTTATTTCTAAATGACATACCTAAACTTTGCAGCAAAAGCCCTGATTTCTGATTTTAAACCTTGAGGTTTTTTGTTTTTTTTAAAGCATATATTTAAAAAGTCAAGGCTATCAGAAATATAACTTGTTTCTCTTCTTTCCCTTGAGTTTTTCAACCCATCTCTTTTTCAGCCAGGAGGGTTTTTATTCGAGCTAATGCAAAATAGCAATGATCTATGGCAGTGTTTCTCAACCTTGACAATTTTAAGGCATGTGGACTTCAACTCCCAGAATTCCACAGCCAGCATTGCTGGCTGTGGAATTCTGGGAGTTGAAGTCCACATGCCTTAAAATTGTCAAGGTTGAGAAACACTGATCTAAGGTAGCATGAATGGAACCATGTGTGTGTGTGTTGTGTGTGTGTGTGTGTGTGTTGTGATGGTGGTGGCTATTTCTCCTGTATCCCATATCTGAGCTGGTCATAATCTCACGAGCTACTTGTGTTTCTAGTTGAAGACGAGCAACTGACGACTCTCTCGCCCAAGAAGAAACAACGGAACGGAGGGATGAGAAACTCGCCCAACTGTTCGCCCAAATTGATGAGGTGAGGTCCAAAGTCGCTCGTATCTTTATCTCTTCTCTTCAAGACAATAATTTCGCCTCCTTCACCCCCCCCAAAAAAAACCCCTCATAAGAAAAAAAAAATAACCAGAATCGTGGCAGGGTGTTAGGAAAAGTAAAAGATTGTTAGATGGTTTCTGAAAACGCCGGAGTATTTATTCTGTCAGCTTGTCAGCAGTTAATGATAGAGCTTGGGGGGAAAGAGAAAAAAAATCTGTCATGAAAAACAGTTTGAAAACCTGTTTGAAAAATACATAGGCTTTAAAGTCTTAGCTGTCACTCAGCTTGTCCGTGTGTAGTTCTAAAACAGCAATGGCACTAATGATAGCGCTAACCAATCCGAGAAACCCATGGGGTGAGTTTGCCTTGGGCAATTCTCTTTTTTTCTAGAAATCCCTCCGAGTGCTGTTTTCTGTACTTAAAACCGTGTGTGAGACGTATCACCACAATCAGAAATGAACCTGAATATTACCTTCCCTTTTGATCCTGTCGACTGAAATCAAATTTCCTCTAATTGATTTGGAAAAATAATAATAAAAAAAACCAACAAAAAGAGGATGGGGAGGGAGGGGCGGACGGGATAATGAATCCGGGCGCTTTCTGAAGCAAAGTTCAAAAGTAACGTCGTTGTCCTGGGGCTAAAAAAAATTAGCATTCATTAGGAAAGGTGTTGTTGGTGGTGTTGTTCAGGCGTTGTTACAGTGTTCAGAACACTTGGTGCCCACAAGTGTTTCTGCTAGGATAGAAGTCTTAAGAGCTGAAGCTCCCCATAAGAATTTCTAAGATGAGCTTGTAAACAGATTATACAGAACCAGGAGTAAACTCTTGAAAATGTTTACTTTTTTTGTTCCTCTTTTCAAACTTCTTAAGTATTGATCCTGAATTTTCTTCGGGACAAAAATGTCTGTTTATAAAATCGGGGTGTCTGAAATTTTCTCAATTTCCCTTATACTTGGGATTTTAAAATCTGAAATCCTGGCGGATGGGGGACCTCTCCCAATTCTGGCACTTTTTACCAGTAGGAGGCATAAAACGAGATCCAGGTTTCTTACTCTCCCATGCCTTACAATTTTGTAGTTTCAAAAAAAGGCAAACCACACACAAGAAAAAGGGAGATTAAAACCAGGCAATACGTGGAGATTCAGACACAACGCTGTTTCCTACTCGGCTCAAGGAGCTGATTTCCCTTGAAATCTACAATGTCTTTCCTCAAATACACATATTTTCATTTCAAATTTTGACCAGAAGGGCAGAAAAATAGAGACTGCAACAGGGCTTTGCATCTTTCTGTTCTCTTTCTGTTGAACAACACACACAATATACACATGTATACACACATATCTATCCCCCAGTACCCATGTTGCTAATCCTTGCTGATGCAGGAACCAATTTACCTCTATGTTGATGTTAGAGAGGGAATAAGGTGAGCCCGGAATGCATTTTATTTCATCCATTATGTGATGCTGGTGGACATCCTTGCGTCCTTTACTTTCCACATAGCTCCTCACTATTCATTTCTGTTCATGTGAAATTTGACAGAGGAAGAGAGAGAAATTTTCCCCCAGTCCTTCTGTTATTGGATAAATCTAGGGATAGAAACCTGAAATAAAAGAAGAAGAAGAAGAAAGAGCGAGAGGGCAGAGGACCTGGTATCGTTTGGAGCGAAGTGTTTGTGTCCCTATTTGCTATGTAAAGTATGCCTCATTTCTTTGATCTGGAGTCATAATAATTCTGGGAAGTTCTACTGTTTTCATGTGCTTCAAAGCTGTGTCAAATTTTTTGCTGCTTTAGGGTACTTCTTTATTCTACTGGCTCATGGGTACTAAGATGACAGGTCCTCAATGCAAGGTAAAGGCTTTTTCAAGTCATTGCCTTCAGCAAAACATCAAATTACCAAATACGGGCTAACACAGTTCTACACAGATGCCTTTTCCCGTAGATATATTATACCATATATATTAAATACTTTAGTGTTACACGGTACATTTTACGTGCAATGGAAAGTGATGGTTGGAGGGAGCCTTGGGGGGAAACTTCCCACTCACCCCACCCCCTTCCACAAGCCGTGTGTATATCGTCTCAAGTATGGTTTTTACAGGACTTTCTGCCTGGAGGCCTTTGTAAATAAGTAATGATCAACAGATTGGCTGTGGGTTTTTGAAAAGCAGGCCTGTGTCAGTTTGCATGATGGGGAAAGGATTTTCAAAGTGGAGAGTTGCTTTCATTGCCTGCTGAAGAGGGACTCTGGGAGATTATTCATCTCAGTCGTGAGCTGTCTGCTCAGAACTGGTGAACCTCGGTTGGACAATGAGCGAGGAGCTTAGCAAACCTAGATCTGTTTTGTTCCTTCCTTTGTTCATCTGCTGGACTAAGGTTTCTGCTCCAATTCCGAGCTTTTCTCTCCTCCCTTTGGTCTGTAGGTGACCATGATCACAAGATTCAACCACAGAATCATAGAGGGAGGGACCTCGGAGGTCACAATATAGGATAACAGAGTTGGAAAGGACCTTGAGGTCTTCTAGTCTAGCCCCCTGCTCAATCAGGAGACCCTATGACCATTTCAATCTCTTCTTGAAAACCTCCAGTGTTGGAGCATTCACAAATTCTGGAGGCAGGTTGTTCCACCGGTTGATTGTTCTCACTGTCAGGAAGTTTCTCCTTAGTTCTAGGTTGCGTCTCTCCTTGATTAGTTTCCATCTGTTGCTTCTTGTCCTGCCTTCAGGGCCTTTGGAGAATAGCTTGACTCCTTCTTCTTTGGGGCAACCCCTGAGATATTGGAAGACTGCTATCATGTCCCCCCTTGTCCTTCTTTTCATTAAAAGAAAATCAACCTCTTGCTCAAGGCAGGAGACTCATACCACCCCAATCAAAGAATTCCAGATCACATCTTCCACAACAGGCTCTCAAAAGCAAGCGTGGGTCACCATAAAAATGTTTATCTAAAAACGATGAAAGGAGAGGGCATTTGACCATTTAAGAGAGTTGGCTTACTGAGACCATAAGCAAAATCTTCCCAACAATTGTGGCAATTCCTTTATCAAGTTACCTTTGAAATTTCTCACAGGTTTTGAGCTGGATCCAAAGCTGCCAATTTTGTCTAGATATGATTTTTGCACAGGGCAACTTCAGTGTTGCTGGCTTTTTCAAAATGTTTGGATTTTTCAAACTGCACAAGCCCCATAACAAGGTTTATAGCTACAAGCCTTAAATTATGTTTAGCATCATCATGGTATATAGACAGGGAGACTATTATAATATCCTTGGACCCTAATGGAGAATTTTTTAAAAAGGATGGATTAAAGTATATTGCAATAAACCACGGGTCTTGTGGTTCCTTTTAGATGTAATAAACAAATGACACATATGGATAATTGTTGGTAATAATAATGTGTGTGTGTGTGTGTGTGTGTGTGTGTGTGTGTGTGTGTGTGTAAAATAACTCAACCTAGAAGGCATTTGTCATCAGTGAAATCCATTAGCAATGAATAGGGTATTTATTACAGCATGTTTTGTCTTACAATATTACCTATTCATTTCAATAAAGTTTGCCCAGAGTTTCACCCCTTGGTGGTGGGGGGAACCCAACTGTGGGAATGTGGCTTCTTCTCCTTTTGGTGTCTTCAATTATTATAATTGAATTGGCCCAGATCTGACTAATGAGAACCAGAGAAAGTTCAGCCTAAGGAAAACATTCTCTATCAAGATTTTTTCCAAGGTCTCAACGTCTTTTTTTGTGATACGGTGACCAAAATTGGCTGCATTTTTCCAGGTGTGGCCTCACTAGGGTTTTATAAAGCAGTACTAATACCTTGCGTGATCTTCATTCTATCCCTCTGTTTATACAGCCCAGGACTGAGTTAGCTTTTTTGGCAGCTGCAGCACACGGCTGGCTCGTACTCAAGTGATCGTCCACTAGGACTCCAAGGTCCCTCTCACAGTGACTGTTTTTAAGCCAGGTCTCACCCAATCTGTACTTGTACCTTTCATTTTTTCTGCCTAAATATAATACTTTTGTAAAAACTTTCCTGCCTAAATGTAAAAGAGGAGGGGGTCAACTTATTTTCCAAAGCACCAGAAGGCAGGACAAGAAACAATGGATGGAAACTGAACTAATCAAGGAGAGAAGCAACCTGGAATTAAGGAGAAATTCCGGCAAGAACAATTAATCAATGGAATGGCTTACTTTGGAAGTTGTGGGTGCTCCATCACTGGAGGTTTCTAAGAAGAGACTGGACAGCCACTTGTCGGAAATGGTATAGGGTTTCTTGCCCGAGCAAAGGGTTGGACTAGAAGACCTCTAAGGTCCCTTCCAATTCTGTCTTTCTCTTATTCTTCTGCTTTTGAATAACTATGTGGAAAAGTTTTGATAATCCTCACAGGCACATATTGAGACAAGCCAATTCTAAGGCTGGTTTATAACGAATCAACTTATGCTGAGTCAAGTGTAAAATCTAAACATAGCAATACGTTCTAATTCATTGAAAACAAAAGTGGAAAGAAGCATTTAATATTGGCAAGCTTGGACCAGGGGTCCCCAGCCCCTGGCCTGCAGCCTGTTTAAAACTTGGCCGTAGGAGAGATGGGCAAGTGTGTGCACATGAAGCTCGATTCATGCAAACATGCCACTTGCGCTCACACACAAAGCTCCACACACGCGAACAGACGGCCGGAAGGAGTGTGTTGCAGACTGGGGATAGATGATGTCATATCTTCTCCCTCTATTGAGAAAAGGCTGTTCAATTTTGACATAGATGGGCTCTTTTTTAAAGGGAGGGGGTCAAAGAAGCCATCTTGAACTGCCCTATGTCAACAGAGGGGGAAGGATAAAAAATCATCTATCTCCAGTCTACAACACAAATCCTTTCAGCAGCTCCCAGAAGGCTCCACAGCCATTTGCACCGCTCAGGTGACCCTGAGGACACAGATGAACCTCCAAGTGGCCTCAACGACTCTCTAAGAGAATGCAAATGACCAGTTGTCTGCAAGGAGTATAAATCCTTCCATTCCTAACCATCCGGTCAGAGCTGAAGAAGCTTCTTGGATGAGAAACGAAACATCTTCAAAGAAAAACAAGGAACTCCAGTTGACTCTTGAAAAAGCATCTTTGGGACATGATGCAGTAGGTGAAAATACCTTAGAAAAATCAAGTTCACAGCTTCTTAGTGTAAAAGTGGGGTGAAAAACAGACCATTTCCTGAAATGTTCACATTCCTAGGAAAACAGGGTGGACATGCCGTATACATTTTGGAAAAACAATAACTTACAAGGCAGGAGTGGGATGAAGCACGCTGAATTTGTTTGAAACATGGATACAAAAAAAAAAAAAAGATGTGTGCTAAAGGAGTTAAATGTCAAATTAGGACCAGCTTAATATTTATGGAAGGCTCCGTTCTCTGTTGTAAGCTGCTAAGTATGACTAGCTAAGCTGAAGGTCTGTCCATGGCCTTGTCCTTTTAATTTGACAAATTGCTTCTACAAACCTGCTGGAAACATGGAAATTTCATTGCTGATTACTCTTGTGAATGTAGTGATCAGCCAGAAAATATTATTAAAATGCACCCTTTCCAGAGAGAGAGAGAGAGAGAATCCCTCCAACTTACTGCCCTTGGTGCTGAGCGGAGAGGACCGCAAGAACAGCTAATGCTAGATGACAAAGGTGGGTGTATTAGTCACAAAACATTTGCTGCATTCCATCACAGCAGCCTGACAATCTTTGCAGCCAGCCCCGGCAAAGAGGACATTGCCTGTGACAAACTGTCAGTCTGGGCTTGGTGGAGCTTTCGAGCGCCAATCACAGGAGTCAGAGAAGATTGAAGTGACAGAGGCCCACTGAGTAAATGGGGAAACATGCCTGGGATTATGAAATATTCAGCCGGGGTGTAAAAACTCTAAATGCTTTTTCAATTATTAGCACCACCTGCTTTGGCTGCCTGCGTGTAACACTAACCGCATGCTAATTGCCACAATTTGTTAGGGCAGTTGGAAGCGGCAGTAGGAAAGGCAAGCCGAAGTTACCCACCGGATCCAAAAGGAAACCAGTAAACCTTAAAATCAAAACCATTGCGAGGAGCCGTCAACAGAAGAAGTGTCGTAGTATCCATCACCTCAGCACACACATTTCTCTCAAAGAAGATGTTATCGGCTTGATAGGATGATAAGTGGTGTGGATCACAAAGAAACTTGTAACCCTCTTGACAGAATAAAGGGGAGGTTGTGTACATCCAACGCGCGACTCCAGGCAGTCCCAGTAAGCGTAATTTGAGAAAGGGTCACGTGATCCCCCTTTGCGACATCCTGACAAGCAAAGTCAATGGGGAAACCTGATTCGCTTCACGATGTTAATGTTAATAACTGCAATGATTCACTTAACAACTGTGGTAAGAAAGGTTGTAAAAACGGGACAAAATTCACTTAAGAACTGTCTCAACAACAGAAACTTTGGGCTCAGTTGCAGTCGTTAAGTCAAGGACTACTGTATTTGCATGTGTGTGTCTATATTTATATATATATATCTATATCTATCTATATCTATATCTATCTCTATAATCTATCTCTATATCTATCTATCTCTATTTATTTATCTATCTTTATCTCTCTCTATTTCTATCTGTCTCTATATCTGTCTCTATCTATCTATCTCTATTTATCTCTCTCTCTCTCTATCTATTTCTATCTATCCATCTATCCATCTATCTATCTATCTATCTATCTATCTATCTATCTATCTATCTATCTATCTATTTCTATTTATCTCTTTCTCTATGTCTGTCTATCTGTCTGTCTATCTATCTATCTATCTATCTATCTATCTATCTATTTATCTATCTATATCTATCTATATCTATCTATCTCTATATCTCTATCTATCTATTTATCTCTCTCTCTTCGGTATATCTATCTATCTATCTATCTATCTATCTATCTATCTATCTATCTATCTATCTACAGCTTGATCTTTTTTAAGGGTGTTCTGCAAAGAATGGAATATGAATATATCTATTTACACACATATACACATACATACACATACACTGTGTGTGTGCTTGTATGTGTGTGTGTATGTATATGTGTACATGTGTATAAATAAATATATTCGTATTCCATTCTTTTGTAGAAGACAGACTTCAAAAAGATCAAGCTGTGATCTGCTTAACAGCTGGGGCGAGAGAAGTCATAAAAAGGGGCAAAACTCACTTAACAAATGTCCCACTTAGCCACGGAAATTTTGGGCTCAAATTGTAGTTGTAAGCCAAGGATTATGTGTAAATAACCAGAATGAGCTAAGAAAACGGATTTACTTTTGGGGGGAGGGGGACTTTTCATCTTGATTTTTTTCTTTTTCTCTCTCTCTTTTCCCATTCTGATTTCTCAACTTAAAAAATCGCCAGTTGAATTCATTGAGGAAATTTTAAAAGGGCTGCGAAGCGACTGTTGCTCTTTAAAATATAATACGAGCTCTCCCACGGCAGGTTTGCTGGAAAAAGGAATGGGTGGGTTTTGCTTGAGGCAATCTTGCTATGAGTTATTGCACGGCATTTAGTGTGGCTCTTGAGTTGTGTTGATCGTAAGCGGCGTGATCTGCTCTGGAAAACTCAGGATGTTTTTACTTCCTTCTGTGTCTGAACTTCGGTGGGCATAATGTTGGGTAGAGGTACAGAATAGCAGTGAATATATTTGGAGTTATAGATGGAGACTCTTGGTTGATTCTCTAAAACACATTGCTTTTGGGTTTATCTCTTTGTGCAAACCTGAGCATGTTGCGATGCACTGAAAGCCAGCATTGTCTTTCCGTTCGAGGTTTTTTTTAAAAAAATGAAGCAATGTTCTGAACCAATAAACCAACCTTATATCCTTTTGGGTTAAGCATGTTCAGAAAAGCAGCAGAAGCATCTCTGCACCAAATCAATCTCTATCCTGGATCTAGGGGCAGTTAGGATGAACTCCATTCAAGATGAGGCAATTGAAGGGGAACTCATCAAATCTGCAGAAGACACTAAACTGGAAGGAGTAGCCAACACCCCAGAAGACAAGCTCAAGATCCAGAAAGGTCTTGACAAACTGGAACCATCATGTGCCCTATCCAACAAAATGAATTTTAGTGTGGAGAAAAGCAAAGTTTTACACTTAGGCAGAAAAATCAAAGATATAAGTACAGCTGAGGCCTGGCTCAAAAACAGCAACTCTTAACTCTTAACTCCCATCATGCTTCAGTTATCCATGCTGCCCAGGACTGATGGGAGATGGACTACAGAACATTGAAAAAATAATACAGTTGATTTCTCTTCTAGAATGTGTATTCAGTTTACCCTGGGCCTTGACTAGATCTGTTGCATTTAACTGTCAATCAATCAAAGAATCAATCAGAATAGAGCTGGAAGGGACCTTGGAGGTCTTCTAGTCCAGCCCCCTGCTCAAACAGAAGACCCTATACCATTTCAGACAAATGGTTGTCCAATCTCTTTTTAAAAGCCTCCAGTGATGAAACACCCACAACTTCTGAAGGCAACTTCTGTTCCTCTGGTTAATTGTCCTCTCTCTGTTAGGAAGTTTCTCCTTAATTCCAGGTTGCTTCTCTCCTTGATTAGTTTCTATCCATTGTTTCTTGTTGTGCCTTCTGGTGTTTTGGAAAATAAGTTAACCCCCTCTTCTTGTGGCAGCCCCTCAAATATTGGAATGCTGCTGTCATGTCACCCCTAGTCCTTCTTTTCTCCAGACTGGCCAAACTCCAAATCCTGTAACCGTTCTTCATATGTTTTGGTCTCCAGGCCTTTAATCATCTTAGTTGCTCAAAACATCCCTGAAAAATCATGCATTCTGGATATGGCTCTCGGTAATCAATTTGCTATAAATGATGTAATTGGAAGCTTCAAGTTGAGAATCCAAAATCTGATTGGAGAAACTTTAAAATATTTAATGCACAGTCTATTAAAGTTTCAAAAGAGTCATAAAACAGACAGTTGACTTCCTCCCTCTCTGCTGATTGATCGGGATGGGATGTTGTTTTTTTTAATTCTTTCTGTCCATTGAAGATATTAATATAAGCTCTTGTAGTATTTAATTGGGGGGGGGAAGGGATATGTATTTTAAGATGAAAGAAAACCAACCATAGGTACAATTGTTCCTGTTCATCAAAACAAGCAAGTGACACTGAAAACTGATCTCATATTTTCCTTGTTTCTTGAATGTGGGTATGGCAAAGTCTAGTTCCATGCTTTACTCTTTCTGATGATTTTGGCTGATATCAATCCCACCCTGTTTGTTTTCTTGCTCAGACACGATCCTTTATTAATCCCTGGCAATGAACAAGTTGACAACATGGACTGCAACGTAAAAAAATATGACTCCACGGGAATGTTTCATTGGTGTCCAGCAAAGGAGATTGACAAGGTTATTTTGGTGAGTATCAGAAAAAAAGGAAGCACAGAGGTTTCATGCTGTATAATCAGATTGAGTTATATTAAATGTCCTCCAGACTCTTTTGCATTCCTGGCTTTGCACAGGACTAGTTCAGCGTGCTAAGAATCCACGCCAGTGAGAAATCTGTGGATTATTACATTTTCTGTGACTTTCTGGCCATTTTCATGATTGTCCATGGTTTTAATGAGTGTGAGACTCATTAAGGTGTATTCTTCTGTGTTTAGTGTCTACAACAGAACTGTGTGGATGGTAGAGATTCAGTGGCAATTTGACCGACTCATTGAGCTAACTCTCCAAATCAAATTTGACAGGTGATTTGAACTGGCTAATCTGATGCCACTGGGTTGAATTCAGACTTTTTTGCAAAAGCATAGCAACACATTTTCGACAATGGAATGAAACCAATAGGACAGTTGACAACACCACACAGATTTCACGTGTCTTTTCTATAAGCATGATTTTCATGATTATCTGTTCCCCTGGAAGGGTCTCCATGCCTTTTTTTTTTTTGTATTGTGGCGACCAGAACTGTACACAGTATTCCAAGTGTGCAATATCGCACAACTGTATCCAAACTAATTAATCCTGAAGGGCCAAACTGAGAGTTAGAAGCTATTCAATGGAGCCGTTTGGTTTCTTGATGAATGCATGCATCCCCGTCATTTGTCCGAGGAAAAATTCACAGGATCATTAATTTCTCCATAGATGTCATTTGGAATTAATGCACTCTAACTACCCTATCACTGTGAAGGAGCAGCTTTCAAATCATTAAAACCCCACTCAACATAAGCATTTAGAATGTGATCTATGAGGGAGCGGATACCCTTGACCAATATTGCTGTAGGGAGAAGTCTTGTGTTATCCTCAGAGATGTGTATGCATGTGCTTTGTGCTACTGTCCCAAAGGTGCTATTTCAAGAGGCAACTGGACTTTCTTGTTTTCCTTTGAAGACGTTTCGCTTCTTATCCCAGAAGCTTCTTCAGCTCTGACTAGATCAGTGGTTCTCAACCTTTTTAATGCCGCGACCCCCAACTGGTCGTAAGTCGAGGACTACTCAACCAGTTGTAAGTCGAGGACTACTCAACTGGTGCAGCACCGTTTGCAGAATGGGACTTTTGGTGGGCTCAGCAGGGTAGAGACAGCCTGGACAATTCCTATTGGTTTTTGAAAGCCAATAGAATTAGACTCTATTCCAGAGAGTCTATTCTATTGGCTTTCAAAAGCCGATAGAATAAAAGGGAATAGCACAGCTAAGGAAAAGGGGAAAAAAATGGCGGACTGCATTGTTTGGCGACCCACGTGAAATGGTCGTTCAACCCCAAATGGGGTCCCGACCCACAGGTTGAGAACCACTGGACTAGATGATGGAGAATGGAAAGATTTATATTCCTTGTGGACAGCTGATTGTTTGCCTTCTTTTAGAGAGTTGTTGAGGCCACCTGGAAGTTTACCTGTGTCCTCAAGGTCACCTGAGTGGTGTAAATGGGTGTGGAGCCTTTTTGGAGCTGCTGAAATGACTTGTGTAGAGGGAAGGCTGTTCACGTTTGACATAATGGCCTCTTTGACCCCTCTTTTGAACCAGAAAGCTTCGTGCTAATCTTTATCTACATGGCAATTGATTATTCAAGGATGTATAAAGGTACAGTACTGAAGTATTCAATCAGAGATGTCCACAGGGAAGGGATCATAAAGTCAACATAGTAGCCACAAGTACATGAACCAGGACATAAAAACGCAAGAAGCTTAGAAGTAGCAGCTGATTTTCCAAAATCTTTGACTTTCCAGCCAAAAATGTTCCTCAGAACAACAACAAAAAAATGTTTATAGTATCTCTCTGTGTATGTGTGTGTGTGTGTGTCCATGTATGCATTCATTCATTCATTCATTCATTCATTCATTCATTCTTTTATGGGTTCTTTGGAACCATCAGCTGGTTTCTTGTAGTTTCAGTAAAGCAGTCTGACTTTTTTTTCCAAGATTCAGAATAACAGAGTTAAAAGGGACCTTGGAGGTCATCTAGTCCAACCCCCTGCTCAGGCAGGAAACCCTATACCATTTCAGACAATTTTTTCTCCAATCTCTTCTTAAAAAACTTCCAGTGTCAGAACACCCACAACTTCTGGAGGCAGGCTGGTCAATTGTTCTCACTGTCAGGAAGTTTTTCCTTAGTTCCAGGTTGCTTCTCTCCTTGATTAGTTTCCACCCATTGCTTCTCGTCCTTTCCTCAGGGGCTTTGGAGAACAGGTTGACCTCCCTCTTCTTTCTACACAAGCCAAAATAAAAATCTCTCATTGTTTAATGAATCCTTTCACCAACATTCCTATGACTATTAACATGCGGCATCTATTTTCAAGGTTGTGTGGAAAGGTTAAAAAAAAAAAAAGTCTCCTATTTGTTTATCTTCTCTTTGCACTTGTCCTAGCGTTAAACATTTCTGCTAATTAAAAAAAAAACCCAACCCTTTATTTTTCCACCTTTTTCAAGGCAAATCTAGGTAAGGCCAGAGAACGTGGTGCTTCAAAAAAACCGGCATTTTTTTCTTGCGTTCTGTCCCCCTTTTTTTGTTCAAATTACATTTTAATGTGCTGCACAGTAGTGATGTATCTCTCTTTTTGCTTCCATTATCCAGTGATTGAGAGCTATTTTTATTTTGCATTTATCCAGAGATGCCATCCGGAGCAACGTTTCTCTGAAGTGTAAAGATTCTGCGTAGGGTTTTGGAGAATCTCTTTGGGTTGGGGACAGCCGTCAAACCGGCTCGACTAATCTTATCTAATTACCTCATTACTTCTTTCTTCGTTAGGTCTGGTGAAAGTTTGTGGCGCACAAACAACGCCACAAATCACAGCTAACATTGTGGCTGTGTGTGACACCGAATCCCGTCGGACTTTCCCTTTATTTAGTGGGGGTTGGATTTTGTTTCAGAGGTTGATTTGTCGAGATTTCCCTGCACCGTTGAGTAACACAACCAATAACAGTGACAGCTCTGGTTTAGTCTAACGATCATATGGCAAAACCTTGTTCCTCCCTCTCTCGGGGGACTTTGTATAATAACCATGACATTGTCTGGAATTGCAGTATTGGCATTTAAGCGATCAATAAACCAGCCAGTTCCACTGAGTAAATTGTTAAGAATGTGATTCAAAATGGTTCAAATTGATATGCATGCCACAGTGTTCATTAGCCCACCAGGGACACGTTTTCCATACGTTGTTAAATAACTGAGGGCGACAGATGTCAGCTAGAATATTTTAAGTATATTTTAAACAGATACGGCGCTTAATGACCTTAATGTTCCACTTCACGAAGTTTGCATGGATAAAAAAAAAAAGTGACATTAGAAAAACCCTTTCTGTCTGGTTATGATTGAAGATCTGTTTACTAGATTTGCACTATGTGGGTGCTTGTGTGTGAAAAATATATGTATGTATGTATATATGTATGTATGTATGAATGTATGTATGTATATCTATAATATAGATATGCATACATATACATATATATATGTACATATATATGCACACACACACATACACACACACACACACATATAGTATGAGAGGGAAAGAAGGAAGGAAGGAAGGAAGAAAGGAAGGAAGGAAGGGGTGACTGCTCCAACACTGGAAGTTTTTAAGAAGAGACTGGACAGCCATTTGTCTGAAATGCTATAGGGTTTCCTGCCAGAGCAGGGGGTTGGACTAGATGACCTCCAAGGTCACTTCCAACTTTATTATTATTATTATTAGAAGGAAGGAAAGAAGGAAGGAAGGAAGGAAGGAAGGAAGGAAGGAAGGAAGGAAGGAAGGAAGGAAGGAAGGAAGGAAGGAAGGAAGGAAGGTGGAGGGAGGGAGGGGGGAGGGAGGGAGGAAAGGAAGGAAGGGAGGGAGGAAGAGGGAGGGCAGGAGGGAGGGATGGAGGGAGGAAGGGAGGGAGGGGGAGGGAGGAAAGGAAGGAAGGAAGATGGAGGGAGGGAGGGAGGGAGGAAAGATGGAAGGTGGAGGAAGGGAGGGAGGGAGGGAGGGAGGGACTTCATAGCAAAATATGCAAACTGCACTTGGAATAGTCCCATTTTTAAGCATTTGTATAAGCAACCTGCCTCCTTAAGGCAACTTTGTAACACCAGGTCTGCAAATCGCAAATGATAGCTGTTGAACCCTATCAACTTCACCTCTCTTAAACAGATCAGTCGTGGCTCTCAGCTTTAATTGCATTCATTGAATCTCCTAGGAGGAACATGGTGGCTCAGGAAGTTAGCAAGCCCACGTTTGAGACCCAGAGCTGCTGTGGGGCAGGGTCGAGTTCTCGTCCTTCACTCCAGCTCCTGCTGGGGACATGAAAGGAACCCCCAAATGGGCATCCCCACCCCCAGGCAACGGTGATGTCACTGACTAATCCTTTCAACCCAGAAATGTCTTAGTGCTTCTGATACGAGTGCAAAAAAACCCCCAAAACCAAGCCCATTATTTGTTCCAATCAATAGTATTTCCAAAAGAAATTTGATTTTAGCAGATGGAAGGGGGCTCAGATTTGCAAGATTTTGTTAGTTCAGCCATGTAATAATAACACTGATGTTTTTAACTTCATAACCCTTTTTTTGTAACCAGTTTTATTAATTTTTCAATTTAACTTCATAACCCTTGAAGGGGTTTCAATACACATTGACCTGAAAATACCTCCACCAGCATGGCTGGGTCAGGAATTCTGGGTATTGAAGTCCACAAGTCATAAAAGAGCCAAGGTGGCCTACCCCTGGTCTAGACTAACTGTGTGGGATCTACTTTACAGCTACAAATATTCTTTGCTTTCCAAACTCTGTGCTTTTTTCTAAGCTTTGAGCATTTAATGCTCTATTAGATATTTCTGAGGCAAAATCGTCAAAATTTCCTGGTGTTCTTCTGCTCCTGTATGCACCACCAAGCTTGATTCAGATTATGACTCTTTGCTGGCATTTAAAACCCTAACTCCTTTCCCGGTTTTCTTTCGTGTGTTTTTTTTTTTTTCAGACCCGAAGTGAAGCTGCTATGACAGTCCTCAGTGGCCACGTGGTGGTTTGTATATTTGGCGATGTGACATCGGCGCTGATAGGACTAAGAAATTTTGTGATGCCCCTCCGAGCAAGCAATTTCCACTACCACGAGCTGAAACACATCGTGTTTGTGGGCTCCCTGGAATATTTAAGGAGAGAATGGGACACCATGCATAACTTCCCCAAGGTCTCAATTTTACCAGTAAGTCCAAGGAGATCTGGTCCTTCCTTCCTTCCTTCCTTCCTTCCTTCCTTCCTTCCTTCCTTCCTTCCTTCCTTCCTTCCTTCCTTCCTTCCTTCCTTCCCAAGACTGTCTTCCTTCCTTCCTTCCTTCCTTCCTTCCTCCCTCCCTCTCACTGCTTCCTTCCTGTCTCCCTTCCTTCCTAACTCACTGTCTATCTCCTTTCTTCTTTCTTTCCTTCCTTCCTCCCTTCCTCCTTCTCACTGCTTCCATTCTTCCTGTCTCACTTCCTTCCTAACACTGTTGGTTCCTCCCTCCCTCCCTCTCCTTCCTTCCTTCCTTCCTTCCTTCCTTCCTTCCTTCCTTCCTTCCTCCCACCCTCCCTCTCAATGCTTCCTTCCTGTCTCCCTTCCTTCCTAACTCACTGTCTATCTCCTTCCTTCCTTCTTTCCTTCCTTTCCTTCCTTACTTCCTCCCTTCCTCCCTCCCTCTCACTGCTTCCTTCCTTCCTTCCTATCTGACTGCTTTCTTCCAGTTCCACTTCCTTCCCAACTCACTACATCTCCTTCCTTCCTTCCTTCCTTCCTTCCTTCCTTCCTTCCTTCCTTCCTTCCTTCCTTCCTTCCTTCCTATCTCTGCTTTCTTCCAGTTCCACTTCCTTCCCAACTCATTATGTCTCCCTCCCTCCCTCTCATTGCTTCCTTCCTATCTCCCTCCCTCCCTCCCTCCCTCCCTCCCTTCCTTACCTTCCTTTGATCTGGGGTTTCATTGTTTTGTTCTTGACTAGTGATAAGCCTGAGGACTTGGCCTTTCCCTGTTTGTTGTAGCTATGAAAACCAAGTCCTGGGAGACCTTATTAGAGGAAATTTGCCGATGCACTCAGTTCCTTGTCAAAGGTGGATTTCAGCTGCTATCAAATAGGTTAGCAATGTTGCTCATTGAACACTTGCATAAAGCCAATTTTGATGTTTTTCTTGACAGCATGACACTTATTAGTTGCGGTATTATTTATGCCTATGAAGCTTTTGAAAACATTTTGCATTGTTTCTCTTATCTACCTGATCTCTCTGCATTTGTCCAGATCGGTGAAAAGCTGGTCTGTTGGCTTTCTTCTCTTTCTTAAGGGAATACAGAATAAAAAGGAGATGGATTTCTTTATCCCCGGATGAGAACAGAATCAAAGGGCCCCCCAATTCCTCACTGTTTATGCCTCGGTGCCAATGATAATGCAAATTTCATCATAGATTTCCGTTTACATAAGGCCAGGAAGAAAATCCCCGCTAGGTCCCCAGTAAATGTTTTCTTTGAATACTAGTTTGTTTTTTTCTTCCTGGTAAAATGGCAGCTTACAGAAGTAAGCAAAACAAAGATTAAAAGAAAACAAGTAGCATCAAAATTGAAATCCATCATTAAATGTTTGGCTGGTCTGTTTCATACTAGTCTCTGAAGCTGAAGGAATCGTCTTCTTTAGCCCACTTGTCATAAAACTGAGGAACACAAACAGGAGATGTCCATCACAGTGCATCCCTCACTCTCTCTTTGTCACCTCAAAATAGGCCTGGACTGTGTTCCTCATAATTCTTATCCATGCCAAATTTGGACATCAGACTAGTGCCTGGAGAAAGTCATCCTGTTTGTAATGTTTAAATTTGGGGTATTATAAACATTTTCCAACGCATATAAACACCAAGAAGGGTGTCATAATGTTTTGATAGATGGTCCAATTAATAAGTTCGCTGCCAGAAAACAGTGTACATTGACACCTATTAAGTTAGTGTCCTTTTTTCTCCTAAACAAAATCTAATTTGGTCTAAGCAAATGTCGTGGATGGAATAGTTTAGAAAAAGATAAAACTTGCTACAAGTACTGTTTTTGGGGATCTCTCTTTGGATGGATGGATGGACGGACGGACGGATGGACGGACGGACAGACAGACAAAGATAGAGACAGGCAGGCAGGCAGGCAGATGATAGATAGATAGATAGATAGATAGATAGATAGATAGATAGATAGAGTGCTTTTTTTGTAAAAAAAAAAAAAGGTGCTGGAACTCACACATGTAATGCAACCTGCCTTGCCTACCCTACAAGGTTCCATCCAAAAAAGGTGCCGGAACTCTGGGCGTTCTATGAGAAAAAAAAGCCCTGGATAGAGATAGCTACAGTAGACAGACAGACAGAGATAGAGACAGACAGACAAATACTGCAGGTAGTTAGTGTTAGTTTGGTTCTGTAAAGGATTCATTCTTTTCCATAGCACAGGCACAAGTCCAGCATTCCCTCCAGTGGCTCTCTGAATCTGCCCCTCGGTATGCTTAGCAAGGACAGTTGTTGCCCCAGGAGACTAACAGACCTCAACTTGGGCTGTACGTGGCAGGCATGAATCAGGATGTTTGTCCTCCTCCCCAGTCCTTGTTTGTTAGCCATAGCTTGACTGAGTTATTGAGTCTTAACACTAAAATGCTGCCATCAGCACCAATCACCCTTTTCGACCGGGAGCGCTCCGTCTATTCCCTGGCACGCCGTTAGACCCCACTTAATGTCAGAGCATTAAAAAAAAAAGGGGATACTTCTTAAATAATTTCCCAAAGCTCCTTCTGGGTGTTTAATTTGTTTTCTTTCGTTCCCTTCCTCTTTCCTCTCCCTCTCCCTCTCTCTCCCACCCTCCATTTTCTGTGCTGAAGGGTACACCATTAAGCCGAGCTGATTTAAGGGCTGTCAACATCAACGTTTGTGACATGTGCGTCATCCTGTCAGCCAATCAGAATAATATTGATGATACTTCGCTGCAGGACAAGGAATGCATCTTGGCGTCTCTGAACATCAAATCCATGCAGTTTGATGACAGCATAGGGGTCTTGCAGGCTAATTCCCAAGGTAAGGACTGCCCTGTAATGCTTCTCCACGGTGCCTAAAGGGGACAGGACATGGCAGTAAGAATATCTCTCACTCAGTAATTCAAAGGAACCTTCCATCAGCTGGCTTGATGGTTGAACCTGCTGATTGGGAGGATGGGGGGCTTTGCGCGTAGCAGGCAAGGGGAGACAAGCGAATCTGGGCGCAAAGAAAGCAGAGGTTGACGGGAGAGAGAATTTTATTGTGTTCCCCTCCTCGCTCTGTCCGTCGAATTCTCTCCCCGTGCATAATGACAAAGTTGTTCAGTTATGCCTTGCATTGCTGGAGGTTGCGTCGTTGCTTTGTGCTGGAATGGGGGGGAAAAAAAGGATGATTTGCGAGTGGCTTTGACCAGCATCTTTGCTTTGTTGACAAGATTTACATCAAGGAAATGTCACACAGTGCCAAAGCAACACCTTTCGGGGCAGAGAAAAGAAAATAAAAACAAATAAATAAACAAACAAACCAGGGGAGGATTTTGTGAAGATCTGTTTAACATCCGCACAAAAATCCTTACAGCGTTGTTCGGCACGCCTCCGATATCAAAAGCTCAGCGCCTATGAGCACGTCTCTCTGACCGTGTATTTTTTTGTTGTTCCTTTGTTTCGTTCCGTGTTTTCCCAAGAGCGCCAAACAGATAACAATATATTAAACCCTCCAATAAACAGATCACCTGGTATTTCCTCTGTGCCTATAAGCTGCCCTGAATCTTGCAACTTCGAAACAGACAAATCAATAAAATAAAAAAAAATGCTGAATAAATGCCCAAATACTGCATTTTAAGCAATCATCCTCTTCCTTCCATTCAATTATCCTTCATCATTCTGGTCAATTGCTTTCATTCAAAAAATCTACCATTAAAGATTTCGATGGTGGATGAAAACGGAAAAATAAATTGTGACAGCATTAAGCATCACCTTGTTATTTCACTTCCTTAATTTAAAACATGAAGGTGATATGTACAGCAAAAGCCAAGATTATATGCTGGGGAATAATTGTCTGGCTGTTCAGTTGTTCTCTACTAGCATCCAACTAAACTCCAGATAATTCCACAATCTTTCAATACCGACAGAACCATTGATGTCCACTCGAGTCTATTCAAGTTAGTCAACCTGATTGCATTTCAAGATGTTATAGGATACGGAATTTGTATACCTGTGGCGGATGGTCCCTAGAGAAGGGGGGAGGTGTTGTGATGGAGTATAGCAAAGCAGTAATTCCTCAGGAAAATGGGAGCATATTCCAGAAAGAATGAGGGAGAGAAAAGAACCTCCCAGGGTGAGAATATGGCAAAGATTTAATCTAGCAAGTTTCTGTCTATATGGTATAAACAAGCAAGTAAAGAATTTATCCTAAAGATGCTTTTTTTCCCATGAGGCAACTGGACTTCCTTGTTTTTCTTTTGGAGACGTTTCACTTCTCATCCAAGAAGCTTCTTCAAGCTCTGACTGGATGGTGGGGAATGGAAGGATTTATACTCCTTGCAGACAGCTGGTCATTTGCCTTCTTTTAGGGGGTCGTTGAGGCCACTTGGAGGTTCATCTGTGTCCTCAGGGTCACCTGAGTGGTGCAAATGGGTATGGAGCCTTCTTGGGACTGCTGAAAAGATTTGTGTTGTAGACTGGAGATAGAACCCTCCAGGTGGCATCAATGACTGTGGGGTCCTGGGTGTTCTCTGAGCTCACTTGTTTTCTTGCAGATGTTTCATTACTCAAACTAGGTAACATCATCAGTGGTAGACCAAATTTAAGGTCAACATTACATATTCAATAGTAATAGCCTTGTGGTAACACTTAAATATGTATTGCTCTTTAGAAAGCGTTGGCATCAACCACCAGCCCCCATAATTCGTCCTCATAATTTTAATTTACGGGGTTGGGTGCAATTCAAACCATTAGCCAGAGGAGGTAAACCATTCTAATGAGAGAATAGAGATTTGCCACTTGGACCCACTCTGGTGTTGAAGTCAGAATCAGAATCAGAGTAGAGCTGGAAGGGACCTTGGAGGTCTTCTAGTCCAGCCCCTTGCTCAAGCAGGAGAACCTATGTCATTCCAGACAAGTGACTGTCCAGTCTCTTCTTAAAAACCTCCAGCGATGGATCACCCACAACTTCTGGAGGCAACTTCTGTTCCTCTGGTTAATTGTCCTCAGTGTTAGGAAGTTTCTCCTAATTCCAGGTTGCTTCTCTCCTTGATTAGTTTCCATCCATTGTTCCTTGTCCTGCCCTCTGGTGCTTTGGAAAAGCACCAGCAACTATCGCAGTAGAATCAGGATACGTTGCAGTGGCTCCATCACTGGATGTCCGGCTTATCCCAACAAATCTTGGTTGTCTGAACACCGACAACGAGTTCCAGAATGGCTGCTTTGATTTCATACGAAATCAAGACACTAAAGTCACGTTGTACCTTTATGCTTTTATGCTTCTTGAAAAGGACAATGTCCGAACCGTTGATCAAACTCAGAAAGGTACAAAGAGAAAGTTATTATACAGTAATTCCGTTGCCAAATTTTTCCAGCTGGCCTGCTGAAAATCCTACTTTATTTTAGCTGACATGGTCTTTCAAACAAGGATGTAGCCAGCTTTTGTGTGGTAGCTGCCTTATGGCCATTAGGAAGCCAATGGCACAAACTTTTAACTATTGGTAACCAATAAATTATGGGTTTATATTCCTCAGAATTAATCTGTGGCTAATATCCCATTTTATGTATTTTTTCCCCATTTGTTTTCATTTTTAATGTTTACTTCACCTTCCCTTTTACTGAATTTATCTTTCTTATTATTAATTTGCAATGGATAAACTCTGCGGTTTGGCCTCAGCCGTGAAGAGTGGTTTATTATGCATACTATTATTTACTACGCATATAGTAAAATATGTATATTAGAATACATTGTTTGCTAATTTATGAGTAATTATAATACATAATGTTAATATATTGCCAAACAGATTAATAATAGGTTCTGTAATATTATTATATACTGTAATGATTCATTAATAATAAATTACAGACATTAGTCTTTAGTTGGTAAGACATGAATGAAATTAAAGCCCCACACAGGCCGGGTACTTTAATTTAATTTTTATTAAAAAAAAAATTCTAAGAGGAGATTGAGAGGCTGAGGCAAACGGGGGAAATCAGATTTATCTATTCTTCTTCTTCTTGTGCCGTATCTATTATCGGACGTTGGCGATCATGTTGGCGATCCTGTTTTTATCAGCAGCCGCACGAAAAAGTGCTGCTGAGTTTTGTCCAAACCAGTCCCTGAGATTTTGAAGCCACAATGTTCTTCTTCTGCCTGGACCTCGTTGGCCTTCAGTCTTTCCCTGGAGGATGAAATGGAGTATGCCGTATTTTTCTGAGTGGCGCATCACCTGTCCGAAATATTCTAACTTTTGTTTTTTAATTGTTTTGATGATTTCCCTCGGCTTTCCCAGATGGCTTATCACCTCCTCATTTCTGATCTTGTCAACCCAGCTTCTACGTAACAGCTGCCTGTAAATCCACATTTCAGAGGCTTCTGGTCTCTTCAAGTGGCCTTCTGTCAGAGACCAACTCTCTACTCCAGTGTTTCTCAACCTTGACAATTTTAAGGCATGTGGACTTCAATTCCCAGAATTCCACAGCCAGCATTGCTGGCTGTGGAATTCTGGGAGTTGAAGTCCACATGCCTTAAAATTGTCAAGGTTGAGAAACACTGCTCTACTCCATAGAACAGGGTAGAAAAAATATAGCATCTGACAAGCCTGATTTTCAGTCTTAGGCTTATGTCGTGACTGCAGAAGATTTATCTATAGATTTATCTATAGAATGACAAAAGTCAGCAAAAGGTGGGAAAGGTGGATTCCCTTAACAACCCAGTTACTAATTTATCAGCTGCAGTGATTCATTTAATAACGGTGGCAAGGAAGGTCATTAAGTGGGGGGAAACTCACTTAACCAAGATCTCACTTAGTAGCAGAAATCGGAGGCTCCAGTTGAGTTCATACGCCGAGGAGTCCCCGTATTTGGAGAGGGGTGATTTTAAGTATGAAGTCAAAGGTCTCCTGTCCAAACCTCTATAGAATATTAATAGGGATTGGGATGGGGATTATTGTGTAGAGGCAACCCACTTTCAGCCAGAAAAGCTAACACAATCCTGGGTTGCGTCAACAGAGGCATAGAATCAAGATCATGTGAAATATTAGTGCCACTTTATAAAGCCTTAGGAAATGGCCTCATTTGATGGCGACTAAATAAGTAACTATGAGAAGCTGAAATCTTAAGTAGAGGTCCAGCAATGGAGGGTGAATCTCTCTAAGTCTTTAAAATCCCCTTCCAGCCAATGATTCCTGACCTTCTTTTCATCCACAGAGAAAAACTTGTGCCCGAAACACGAGAAGCTCTTATGCCCAAACTTATATATGCACTAACTCCTTCCTTCCTTCCTTCCTTCCTTCCTTCCTTCCTTCCTTCCTTCCTTCCTTCCTTCCTTCCTTCCTCCCTCCCTCCCTCCCTCCCTCCCTCCCTCCCTCCCTCCCTCCCTTCCTTCCTTGTCCCTCCCTCCCTCCCATTGCATTCTGCCTTCCTATCTCCCTCCCTCCCTCCTTTGCAAACTTTCTGGGTGGAACCTCAGGTATAAGATATTATTATTCAACTATGAGCAAATGCGTGAGTTGGGAAGCAGCTACAGTTACAAATATCCTGTCCATTTCTCCTATTTTGTTGCATTCCTTGCCCTTTTGGTTTTGCAGAAAACAAAATATTTTCCCCTATCGCCACGGACATTGCGTGGGGACCAGAACAGATCAAAGACAGTTATGCTTAACCAGTTCAAGATTTATGCCCCGCATAGCAGTTTTGCTCAGGGTGGGAACTTGAGGTATCTTCCTTCAAATAATGTAATGATCTTGGCTAATGATTTAAGCTGCTATTTTGAATTCTGAGATGGTAAGAATTGGCCTGGGGTTTATAAAACCTTACCCCTGGATGATTGTTTTTGTA